CTAAAACGTGACACACCCGGCTATTTAGGTTATGGTTATTTAGGCTAATAATATACAAAATACAAAAGAAAAAGGATGTTAAAATAAACAAATAAAAATTTCAGCAGTCTATTTCAGCAGTCTTTCACCAATTTCAGCAGTCTTTTGCAACAGTTTGTGCCTGTCAGGAGGTGTTTTGCCTTCCAACACTGCAAAAATGCTTTTCTTACTTAGATTTTTTTTGTCTTGTTTCTAGTCCAAATATCTAAAAATTCCTAAATCAAGAAGCATTTTCTAGACAAGCAAAACATATTGTCTTGCTTTGAGAAATAAGCCATTATTAAGTGAGTTTTTCCTTAAAACAAGCTAAATCTGCCAAAGGGGTAGGCAAATTAATCTTACGTCAAAAGAAAAAACAAGATTAATTTGCCTACCCAATTGGCAGATTTAGCTTGATTTAAGGAAAAACTCACTTAATATTGGCATATTATCTCAAAACAAGACTATGTTTTGCTTGTGTAGAAAATGCTTCTTGATATAAGAAACTTTAGATATTTAAACTAGAAACAAGACAAAAAAATCTAAGCAAGAAAAGCATTTTTTGCAGTGAAGCGTTTAATGGGAAAAGTTGCTGTCGTGTCGTCCACATACAGTCATTGTTTCAAACAGAGAGAGGGAAAAACATTACCTGATGGATCGCTGGTATTTTTTCCGGAAGATGATCATGTCCCAGTTTAGCTAAATGAATTGACGCCTCCTAAAGTGACTTGCTATGCACCTTCGCCATTTGCATAGCATTAAAACATTGTTTTCCAGCCGCAGCCGGGCTTCATTCTCAAAATGTATAGTTTGTCTAAAGTGATTTATACAAATTATGTAGTATACTATACTATGAGCAGGGATACAATTAGTCAGCGCAGTTGTGCCTCCAAAGTATAAAGCAACATTTAGAGTTTGCATTTTCCCAATCAAAAAAGCAGTTTAGGAAATACATTCAGTTTATTTTGTATTTGTTATTGCACTTCAGCACTTTAGTGAACTGCTTTTGTTTTGTTATTGCTTTATCATGTAGATAGAGGTTTTTGGTTTCTTGGGTTTGGGTGTCTCTGTTTTATTTCATCCTTTTTTTATTTTCCCTGTCCAAATAAAATCTAAATCTGTTCTTGCAGCTAACTTTTAGCACAGCTATTTGTTGAGGAGGGCGGCATTGAAATTAATATCGAGAAGATGGATGCTTTAAGAATTTGGCAATAGCACAAACTCATCATAGCTAAAGCTTCTTGAAGATACAAAAACAACAAGGGGGGATTCCAGAGGACCACTTGTATCTTTTGTGAACTCAGTGCAGGTTAAAGGGATAGTTCACACTGAAATTGTTATTTACTTGCTATTTATACTCCCACAAGTGGTTCCAGACTGTTTTGAGTTTCTTTCTTCTGTTGAACACGCTAAAAACCTGTAACCATTGACTTCCATAGTATTTGTTACATGAAAATTGATGGTTACAGGTTTTCAGCTTTCTGAAAATATCCTCATTTGTGTTTAACAGAGGAAAGAAACTATGTGTTCATTTTTGGGTGAGCTATCGCTTTAATGTATCTCTCAGACACCTGTATTCTCGTTTTTTTTATTTATTTATTTATTTATTTTTTTTGCTGACCAGGCCAAACAGCTATGCTTTTTTTGTTCAGATTATAAGTCCATGCAAACAGTCCGTCAGTTAGTGTCTGACTGGGTCTGGAATTCCTTTGAAGTCAAGCAGTGACCATGTTCATGCGTCGACTCTGACCGCTGCCATGGAATGTGATGGGGTTTTTAGCAGGAGAGGTTGTGAGAATGACCCGTGGCCACTATACATGGCAAGCTGTTTCAACGTTTAGGCAATAAAATAAGCCATCTATCTTCATGCAACTAGTAGTTAAGAATAGCTTAAAGTTGTACCTTTTTAAAAGCTACTTATTCAGTGGAGTCAGGCCACTTCTTACTTATTAGATGCTAATACTTGTCCATTAGACTCTTAGTACTTATTCAGTAGCTACTAGTACCTAGGCACAAGTAATTATTCATCTGAAACTGGTACTCATTAGCCCCCTTCGAACAGCAATCATGCTTAAAAGGATCAATATAGACAAGGGCGTTTAATTTTTCCGGAAAGCACCGTATCTATTACAAAATACCATCAACCACAAATGAGCGGTTGGACTTACATTTGTGAACATGAAGGGGGTCAGTTATTTTGCTGCTGTTGTTGTTGTTGAAGGTTTTATTGTATTTCAAACTTTCGTAATCATAATACAGCCACATGCTAAGATCAAAGAGCTTAGAATCACCAAGAGGAGACACTCAATAGAATGTTCCATTGCAACAGCAGCGCCCAGCAACAGCCCCGGATTCCGCCATATTGGAGTGAAAGCGATCGGCTGTCCATTGGATCTTATTGCTGTCATGATGGCGAGCAGCTGCTTTGTTTTTTATTTATTTGTTTAAAAAGTGCATAAAAGCTGAGATGCAACCTGAAAGACAACAATACAACACTTACTATCTTAATCAGCAGCACTTTTAATCGTTTATTTTACAGACTTATAATATGCTGTTGCTCTATTCATCAAACTGGGCTTGGCTCAGTCAGAAGCACTGCTGAAAGCCTCCATCATCCAGGTTCAGTTTCTGGAGGAGTTTATGAGCTCACAGAACTGGATGCACCTCTGAAAGGATGTAGTGGATTCAGACACGACCCTAAACGTATCGACGCTGTTTTTCAGTCTTCATAAAGCACATAAACACTGTTATTTTCTTCATAAAATCCATGTCAGCCATTTAGCAATGAAGCTAGAGCCACCGGGCAGACAGAAGGCCTGCTCATCACGCGAATCCGCGTTTGTTCCGAAGTGAATTTGACGCGCTAATGAAGCGGGGTTTGACGCACGAATGAAGCGAGTAAACTCAAATGTTCACGCAGCTATTTACGCACAAATAGCGTGATTTATCCGCGCGTTCCGCGTCTGGTGTGAACACAGCATTACTGTTTTTCTCTCACGCTTGAACCACAGATCTGACAGATTATAACAGCTTTAACACACACCTTTCAAAGTTGTGTGTCACAAAAACACTTCATTATCCACTCAAAACTCTATTGAAACCCATTTTCGAAACATAAATTACAGATTGTAAATGCTGTAAACGGAAGTTCTAAACATTCGTAATTGTAACGAGTAGGGTGTGAATCTACACTGGTTTCTCGGTTTGGTTAGGTGACGATTATCATGCCATCGATTCGGTTCAATTCGATATCTCGGGGCATTGACGATGCTTTCCATACATAATTCGATTTTTTCTTCACCAAACAAGAATTTTTTTTATTAAAATCTATAAATATATGAATATTTATATATTATTTGTGATACAGTTTTGTTCTTCAATACAGCAGTAAGATATATGAACTGTACCCTTAACTTGACCTGCTCAATAAAAACACTTTCTGAATGTATCAAACAAAACTCCAAACACATGCACAGAACATGAGCATTTATAGCAAATAAACTCATGTAAAAATGATCCCGCTTGATTTTTGAGCGCTGACAGGTGAGGTCTTACACCCCTATGATGATTGGTTATTGTCTTTACCTGCTCAACAGAAAGGGCTGCGATTAGCTTTAGAAATGAGAGCGCTGTTCACTAATGGCGGGAAAAACAGCCGCGTTACAGCCTGTATGCGCATAATACACGGTTATCACAGGTAATCCATAATAGACAAAGTGGGGAAAACTTGCACCTTAGGCACGCTCATGTCTGGGGCCCTGTGTACACTAATGCGTTTTCGTTTTAAAACACATAAGTTTTGCTACGGTTACGCCATCCGTCTACACTACGCCCTTGAGCGCAGAAAACGGAGCGTTTTGAAAACGCTGCAGAGGACGTTTTCATGCTAAAGTGCTGCTGCTTCGTCTCTGTGTGGATGAGGAAAAACGGAGACATCTGAAAACGAAGGCGTGGCTGCTGAGATTCGCTACCTGATTGGGGCTTTTGTGTCATTACGTATCCTTCCCCCATCGTCAAGCCTCTATCACATGACTATAACACATGGCTTTACCGCTACCGGAAGACAGCAGACCAGCCTTCACTGTAAACAACAACATGGACACAGAAATGGGAGCGTTGTTTGCTCTATTGTCTGTTTTAGGCACCATTGTGCAGTTATTCATTTGTTACGTTTAGTAACAACTCGACCTCGTCGTCTGTCCACAAAAATACCTCTCTTGCTTTCTTTGCCATCGCGTTTAATGTTCAACCGGCGTTTGTTTACTAACAATAACCAAATGCTGAGCGAGACGCATGCTTTCTGTTAATACTAGAACGCGCATGCTCAGAGTGCGCGAATGGTCACGTGATATACGTTTTTGGTGGCGTAGTGTGGACGGAGATATGTTCAGAGACGCTAGGTAAAACGCTAGTGTGGACACGGATCGTTTTTGATCTAAAACACCTTTTAAAAAACACACTTGTGTAAACGGGGCCTGGATCCACAAGTATCGCTTTAGCAGCCAAGAGGAGAGGAAAAGTTACCTCGAAAACACACCAGCAGGTCAAATGTCTAAAGAAAAAGAGGTAAAGATGGAGTTTTACAGCATTTCTTCATAGTAGTGAAATAGCGGCTTGTGTGCTGTGCCTTCTTCATTGTAGTAAGAGCGTTATTTAGTCGCCCTCGCCTCCTTCCTCATAGTATTCTACTGCGACATCGCGCATAGGAGATAAATGACGTCAGTACGTAATAACCGGTTATGATCTATTACTGAACCGATATCAATAATTTTGACAGCCCTAGTGACGAGTAACGATGCGGCACATAAAAAATCTGTCAGAGTAAAACTCATCGAATATACAGTATGTACTGAAGTAAAAGTGAAAGTAGGAGAAAAAAAACAATCCTCCAGTAGAGTACAGATACAGCCTTTTAGTACTTAAGTACAGTAGTGGCCTGGCTGGTGGCCTTGCTTAATGCTTTGTTACTGTGTATTTTGCAGAACTGTGGCGTGGAGACTGATAACTTGAAGACTCTGGTTGGTCAGATGCGAGCAGCATCCAATAACTTGCAGAACTGTGCATCGGAGCGTAGGAAAAACCCTTCGTACGATGGAGGAAGTCCAAACAAACCACCAAACGTGTTCCTCACTGCTGTGGTGGAGCTGATCGGGGCTGCCAAGAGCATGCTGGCCTGGCTGGACAGGTAGGAGAGATTTACACTCCAACTCTCTCTCTTTCCATCACAAGGAATGTTCAGAGCGCTTTGGCTAAGTCTGCGCACACATTTGGAAATCATGTTCCTAAAATAGCATTAGCAGAAAACTGTATATTACTGTGTGTTTAGAGTAGACTCGTGTCTTCTACAGTTTATTATTACTGATTGATGATGAAAAACCATCTACGTTCAGAGAGATTTTTAGCAGTGACATTTTATAAACGTTTTAAATGAAACAGATATGAACACAGTGAACTAAACTTAACATTGTAAAACAGAGAAATGTGTTAAATAAATGTGTTTGTTGAACACTGTGTTTTAGGAAAACATTATCTTTTAACGCAAAACTAGAATCATCAGAAACCGTTATTACAGCATATTTGACACAATTTTAGCAGAACAAAAGTGCAAAACTACAATTCTGTAATATTCTGCAGTATGTGTACTTACAACTTACCTAAGAAAATACTGGGTTGTATAAGGTAATTAGTACAGAGGGTAAGTGTGGGTACAGATTTGCGGTACAGTACCATGTTATTAGCTAGTTTATATAATGACTATGAGTACTTTATGGACTGTCAAATAAAATATTATTGTATTTTTTTTATTATATATAAACTGAATAGGCACTTGTATGTCATTGACTTTTTATTTAATTTTATTTTATTATTTTATATTTAATTTTATTTTTTTATTTTATTTAGTTTTATTTAATTTTGTTTTTATTTTTATTTTTGTTTCATTTTTAGTAATTTTTTTAGTTTTTTTATTTTGCTTTATTTTATTTTGTTCAATTTTTTGCTTTTTTATTTTGTTTTATTTCACTTTATTATTTTTTGTTTATTTGATTTTTTTCTCTATATTTTTATTTTTTTTTAATTTTATTTCTTTTTATTTTATATATATTATTTGTTTTATTTTGTTAATTTTTTCTCTTCGTTTTATTTAATTGTATATTTTATTTTGTATTTTATTTACATTTTTACTTGGCTTTATTTTATCTTGTTTTATTTTTTTTCTTTGTTTTATTTTACTTTTTATTTTGCTTTATTTTTATTTTTTGGTTTTATTTTATTTTGTTTTGTTTTACTTTTTATTTTGCTTTATTTTATTTTGTTTAATTTAAAAAAAAATATTTTGCTTTATTTTTTATTTACTGGTTATTTTATTTTATTTTATTTTATTTTATTTTATATTATTTTATTTTATTTTATTTTATTTTATTTTATTTTATTTTATTTTAGATAAATGTCCTTGTCACATATTTCCTGCCAGCTGTCTTACCAACCATTGTTTTGGTTTTTGTGTTCAGTCAAAACACCTTAAATCTTTGCAAACAGACACACATGTACATGCGTGCAGTGCATGTTGGGGCTTGAAGGTACTCATAGCAGAAATAGCAAACATCTGAACAGCTCACGAGCGTTTGGACGAGTTACAGTTTGTTCTCACTGTTTTTCTCAGATCTCCTCTCACAGGAGTCAGTGATTTCACAACGACCAAGAACAAGATCATTCAGCTGTGTTTAGAGCTCACCACGACTGTCCAGAAGGTTTGTTTCTGTATTCGTCAGCACTGAACTTCCTATCTAGACAATGCTCTGCAGGCATTCACTAATAATAGCAGGTTACTTAACTTTGTTTGAACTAACAACAAATCGGAATCATTGAAGGAATTCATGATGGAAATCAAACTCAGGTCACCAGAAGCACAACGATTAATATTAAAATATTTTTAAATATAAAAATATATATTTTAGGATTTTTTATTTAACAAAATATTATTATTATTATTCAAATATTTTTATATATTTTTATTATATTTTAGAATGATATTTAGAATGTATATCGTTGGAATGGGCTAAGACTCCTAAATACATATTTTACCACACTATTTTTGTTACGTAGGAAGAGTAAAAGAATAAAACACATTTACTGTGACCCTGCAACCTGTGGGACCATTTACGCTTACATATTCAAACCACAATATCATAGTCTAAACATAAAGCAATCACGACAAACTATATACTGCATCATTTAAAAGCATAACATGTCTAATTTCCATTACTGGTAATAGATAGATAGATAGATAGATAGATAGATAGATAGATAGATAGATAGATAGATAGATAGATAGATAGATAGATAGATAGATAGATAGATAGATAGATAGATAGATAGATAGATAGATAGATAGATAGATAGATAGATAGATAGATAGATAGATAGATAGATAGATAGATAGATAGATAGATAGATAGATAGATAGATAGATTGGTAGATAGATTGGTAGATAGATAGATAGATAGATAGATAGATAGATAGATAGATAGATAGATAGATAGATAGATAGATAGATAGATAGATAGATAGATAGATAGATAGATAGATTGGTAGATAGATTGGTAGATAGATAGATAGATAGATAGATAGATAGATAGATAGATAGATAGATAGATAGATAGATAGATAGATAGATAGATAGATAGATAGATAGATAGATAGATAGATAGATAGATAGATAGATAGATAGATAGATAGATAGATAGATAGATAGATAGATAGATAGATAGATAGATAGATAGATAGATAGATAGATAGATAGATAGATAGATAGATAGATAGATAGATAGATAGATAGATAGATAGATAGATAGATTGGTAGATAGATTGGTAGGTAGATAGATTAGTTGATTTAATAGATAATTACTTTGCTACAGCAATCCATATGTACAGTATTTTTTAGAGGCTAAATTCGCATTAAATACATTCAAACTTCCTATAATACTTTAGAATTTTATGTCTACATTACAAATATTCACAAAAGTATGTAAACAATATGGCTCATATTCCTCAAAACATAGGGGGCGCCATTGTATGGTCACCAATGGAAACTACATGTCATTCGGTGGTAAAGTGTGGTACTGCGGCCAAACAAAATAATACTGAAACCTAATTTTTTGAGATATCAACTTCATATTTGGAATGTACTTAGCTTTGATTTTCTGTCAGCTTTAGGCTAAAACGTGTTTTGTAAAATGCATATAGTATGCAATATAATAACATATACATTGATTGTTTTATTCGCATAAACATAAAGGCGCATAATTTAGGTTTTCTTTAACCTTTTTAAATTTATTTGTGCTTCAGTTACAATCCGACATCTGAGACCAAGCTTAAATCGGTGCACCACAGTGTGGAAAACTTGCATTCATTTAAGTTAAACATGTCATTTTGACGTCTGTGTTCAAAAAGTGGGGTTGACTATAAGGGGTTAAATCTTGGTCCTTTCTTCTGTTGAGCACAAAACATTCTGGTTGATAGTATCCATTTAGTTAATCCATAAAACAACTATGGAAGTCAATGGGTCCAGCATTCTTCAAAATATCTTCTTTTAATTTTTGGGTCAACTTTAACTTTTGAACAGTGCTGTTTTCAGGTATATCCCGATGAACTCTTTACACACAGATGTGTGCTGCAGCGCAGAGAAACATATGGTTTGAGTGAGTCTGAGCGCCTCGTAACCGTGATGGATGTCTTCACAAGCCTCAAACTCGACAGCAATTACCCTGTCAGGAGTTGTCCTTAAATCTGAATTAAACACAGCCAATAGGCCCTCCTCCATCAGCACATTCCACATCTCCAGTCCTCATATTACATTTCATAAATACCTTCTTTGGTATTTTGATTTCATGTTTACCATTGCGTGTTTTCCTGTGGGAACTCGACATAATGTGGCGTCTCATGCGAATCCTCCCTTTTTAATTGCAGGACTGCACTGTTTTTGAAATGGAGGAGAAGATATTAGAAGTGGTGAGTAGAACGTTTTGCCGTCAGCCATTTTGCACACATTCACATATTCACGCAAAAGGTCAGAGATTCGGCTGTTATCTGGGATGCTTTTGGGTTCATCGGGAGTCAAAAGAGGCTACTCTATTGTTCAGTCGAGATGTTTTTACCTCAATAACATCCTGCAGTAGATATCAGCATCTCGCAGTCTCTGCTAAAAGAATATTCTGGATGCGATACAATCATTTTGACAGTTTGTAGAAACCAGTGTGAGTTGCATTTATTTTTCAGCCAATCATAAACAAATGTTTTACCGTTATGATCACGGTAGCCAATCAGAGGAGTTTATGTTACATTATATAGTCATAAATACACTGACCAGCCACTTTATTAAGTACACCTTACTAGTACCGGGTTGGACCCCCTTTTTGCCTTCAGAAGTGCCTTAATTCTTTGAAGCATAGATTCAACAAGGTACTGTAAATCAGGGGTTCTCAACTAGTTTGGCCATGGGACCCACATTTTTACATGGTCATCAAGCCGCGACCCAAATTTTTTGGAATTATAATATAATTTTAGGAACTATAATTCATTTGTATTTATTTGTTAACATACACAACTAGTGACAGCTAAATTATAAGAAAATCACCAAGACTTACAAATAAACAATATTTTACTGCTGTCATTTAACAAAGTGTATCAAATTATAGAAATATTACAGAGTAAATATGTCAAATACTGTAAACAGTAAATGGTTAGGGTAAGGAAAAGATAAGTTATCATTAAGTAAACTGAACTGTTTATAAAACATTAACACTGAACTGAACAGAAACCAGCAAAATAAAGTAAAATTATTAAAATAATCATAACCATTTTATAATAATCACCAGTTTTTTGCTGTTCTGCTTTTGTGTGGGCTTTCCTGACCTTTGCTACATGGTGAGCACAGTAAGATGTACTTGTTTTGAACATGAAGATGTTGGGCACTTTTGTGATGCCCTCAGCTATTGGAGTTGTCTTAGAAAATAGTCCACAGGTTTTTCCTTGCAACTGGGATGTTTGGTTTCTAAATGTCGTTTTAATTTAGGTTTCATGCTCTCTTGTGAAAGCACCTCACTACATGTGACACACTGAGGTTTTAAGCCTTTTTTGTCGTCAAAATGGGGTAAAATAAATGCTCATTTTATAAAAAGATGGCGTAGAAATGTAATGTAACGCAGTGCTTCTTGTACAATCTGAGACTCACTTTATATCAGATATCACTCACCAGTGGAGATCGCTGATTTATAAAGAAAACAGACCTTAAACGCACCGGTTTTTGCATTTCATACAGTTCGCCGAAAGCGCTTGTCCCAGGTTACTGGCAAATTAAAAGTCCCATTAGCAAGCTTCGGCATATACCAATGGCACAGTTGTCGTACGTGCATTTCAAAATAAAAGTCCGATATAAGCAAAATAAGTTAAATATTAAACTTTTGTTGTTTTTTTGATCATACACTCATACATTGAAAAGTGGGTCACGACCCACCAGTTGAGAAACACTGCTATATAATATTCCTCAGAGATTTAGCTCCATATTAACATGATAGAATCACACAGTTGCTGCAGATTTGTCGGCTGCACATCCATGATGTGAATCTCTCATTTCACCACATGTCAAAGATGCTCTATTGGATTGAGAACTGGTGATTGTGGAGGTCATTTGAGTACAGTGAACTCATTGTCATGTTCAAGAAACCAGTCTGAGATGATTCACTGTTTATGACATGGCGCATTATCCTTCTGGAAGTAGCCATCAGAAGATGGCCACACTGTGGTCATAAAGGGATGGACATTGTCAGCAACAAAACTCAGGTTGGCTGTGGCGTTGACACGATGATCAAAAATTAGTACTAAACGACCCAAAGTGTGCAAAAAAAAAAATATCCCCCTTAACATTACACCACCACCAGCCTGAAGCATTGATACAAGGCAGGATAGATTCATGGTGTTAACACCAAATTCTGACCCGACAATCTCAACGTCGCAGCAGAAATCGAGACTCATCAGACCAGTCAACGTTTTTCCAATCTTCTATTGACCAGTTTTGGTGAGTCTGTGTGAATTGTAGCCTCAGTTTCCTGTTTTTAGCTGACAGGAGTGGCACCCAGTGTGGTCTTCTGCTGCTGTAGCCCGTCTGCTTCAAGGTTGGACGTGTTGTGCGTTCAGAGATGCAGCCTGTCTGGCACCAACAACCATGCAGACATCCCAAGTTGGGAAAAGTCATTTCCGGGGGATACAGAGTTGATTTGCGGGAGGTAGTGGGATAGTGGATGTTTGAAAAGCGTGGGGGGGGGTTACGTTGAGTGAGTGACGTATCTTTGTATGGGGGCGTGTGCGCGCGAGACTTACCCGAAGAAGAGCGATGGGAGTTGAGCGCGCGACGCAACATACCTGAAGAGTGGTGGTGGTCAGTTGCGCACGACGTATCTGAAGAGCTACGAGGGATGCGGTGGAGAGAGGGCTGTGCAACGTATTTAAGGATCGGGCAGGAAGCGCGCGATTTCCGGGAGATTATCATTTATTTGCGGGCATCCAGGAGTGTCTATGCATTTGAGGGATACTCCCGCAACTTCCGGGAGACTTGGGATGTCTGAACCATGTCACGTTCAAAGTCACTTGAATCCCCTTTCTTCCCCGCTCTGATGATTTTGCAAAAATAAAGGACAAATATGTTTGTAGTTAACATTAACAAAGTCATAGTCAGATATACTTAAAATAAACAAGATTAAGCCAGCAAATATTGTTGTGTTACTTTTGTCCCCTCTGTCGGTGTCAAATGTAACAATGTGCAATTTTTGTTTTTGTGAAATGTTTGTTCAATATTTGTTCAAAATACCACCTGATATTGATAAACTACACCTATAAGTAGGGCCAGACGGAATCTGCAGACATTTTTTGCGCTTGTAATTTTGGTAAAAATCTGCGGAATTATGCAGAATTATTTTGGAAGTGTCATAAATAAAACCTTAATATATGAAATAAAAAGTAATACCTTTTTAAGTTGTATTTAATGTTTACAATGCAAATCCAATTTGATCCACTGTGTTTGGTAAACAAAGCAAGTCTCTCATATAATATATCTACTAAAAGACAGAAAATATTACAAACTATTTTGTAAATAAATCATAAAAATATATTCATATTAGTCAATAATGTTACTGAAATTAATTTAAAACTGAATAGAAAATTAAACACATTTACACAAGTAAATAAACAGAGTCAATGATGGGCTAAAAATCTGCAGAATTCTGCGTGTGCAGATTCTGTGTGGGACTACTTATGAGTTAGTAACCACAGCAAAAATATATTTCTGTCTAAAGCAATACCTTTTAAAAACTAGGTTTTTATGAAAAATGGTACTTTCGTCCCTGGTCTGCTCTACGCTTACGAGGAACATCTGCGTCAGCAAATGCATTTTTGTCTATAATTGTAATTTTCACACTTTTAGCAGAAAATTTGCCATAGGCAAGCCTTGGTTGTCACTTATGAAGTCATTATTGCCACTATGTCATTAACTAACACTCAGTTTTCTGTTCATTTCAGTCACAGGTTTTGACAGGCATTTGTGATTCCACCATGAGAATGACTTCTGACCCCTTGAAGACCCAAGTGACCTGTTTGGAGGAGGTACCCATCAGCAATATCAAACCTGGCGAGGGACTGGTGCGTGTCAACAGCCTTTACACTTCTCCACCTGCTGCCTTTGTTTACTCGTAGCATAACAACTGCATATTGTTTGCTTATTTTTTTTTCAAAGGGAATGTATATCAAATCCACTTACGACGGGCTGCACGTCATCACCGGAACCACGGAAAATGTGAGTCAAGTGACTTGAGAATTACAGACAGATCACTGGGGCTTTTGTTTGCTGTTAAAGCATCAAAATGGAGCGTCATACAAGCCTGTGACCAATGGATTGCCGAGATCCATAAAACACAAGAAACAGTTTACAAGGCTGGGACAGCTACAACCATTTTTTGGATTTTTTTTGGATACTCTAGTAATCTTTTGATACAAAAAGATTGGTGGTTTAGGGTGTGTTGGGCCCCCGATGCTGTGTTCACACCAGATACGGAACGCACGGATATATCCCAATATTGGCACGTAAATAGACCCTTGAACATACTGAGTTTTCTTGCGTCATTCGCACATCAAATTCACCGAGCAATAGATGTGAGTTCACGTGATGGGCAGGGCTTCTGTCTGCCCGGTGACTCTAGCTTCGTTGCTAATTGGCTAACACAAGTTTTATTGAGAGAATAGTTGTGTACATGTGCTTTAAAAAGGCTGAAAAACTGCCTCGATTCGTTTGGAGCAGTGTCTGAGTCCACTAGATTCTTTCAGAGGTGCACCAAGCTCTGTGAGTTCATCAACTCCTCCAGAAACTTCTGATGGAAGCTTTCAGCAGGGCTTCATACTGAGCCGAGCCCAGTTTGATGAACTGTTGTCCGGTATCGGCTGGAGGATTTCCCCCTGAGACACCAATAACAGGCGCTACGTTGCCCCTTCCGCATCTAGTGTGAACACAGCATTAGAATCGTCCTAACTTTCTCCCTTCTAGGGCCACCACTGAATGCTCAAAGGCAGCTAGGCAGTGTGCATACTTTACACATCGAGAAGACTGCTCTGTGTACATGCGTTTTCTAAAATTCACAGTATTCATTCATTCATTTTCTTTTCGGCTTAGTCCCTTTATTAATCCACAGTGGAATGAACCACAAACTTATCCAGCACGTTTTAATGCAGCGGATGCCCATTCCAGCCGCAACCCATCACTGGGAAAAAATCGCAGTATATATTTAAAAAATATATATATATTCTGCTGAGGTGAAATAATCCTGCTCCTTCCAACCCAAGTTCATTGCAAAAATATGTACTTCAGCCTACATTTCTGTGAAATGTAAAAACCCATTGTTCCGGGTACATTTAATTGCACGTTTTAGATGACAAGGCCACTAGAGGGCGCTGCCTTTTTTTAAATTTTATTTGCGAATTTAAAAGACTTTATTTTGGGTATGTTTTGTTGTACGTTTCTGATACCTATCCTTCTTGTACATGTCCACGAGAAGGCGGAGCTTGTCGTAGTTTAAAACACTAAACGAAACCCAACCAATATTGTTTTCGAAATCAAACGCATTAGAAAAGTGCACTGAGACCACATCGCGTTACCTTTATTCTACATTGCTTTTATCTCTTTCTTGGAATAACTCACCCACGCTTTGCATCACAAGTACTGCCTTTTGCATCTCAAGCTGCAAAAAAACATTATTAAACTTAAGTTTGAGTGAAGTTTCTAGGTAAATGAACACTAGGGGGCAGTATGACACAAATTAATTTTGTTTCTTTAAAAAACATAATAATGACATTTAAAAACAAACCAAAATAACGTATTTCTAATTCACAAAAAAAAGTAGATAGTGCCCCCTAGTGGACTTGTCTTCTGAAACGTACAATGAAATGTACACGGAGCAATGGGTCTTTATGTTTCACAGAAGTGTAAGCTGAAGCATGTATTTCCACGTGCTGCTAATGACCCAGTATTGCCTTTTGCACAGGCAGACACAGAATCCTAGTGCAGATTACATGTCATCTCTCTAGCTTGTTTCTGATTGGAGGAATTGAGTGGGCTGCAATTGCCCCATCGTACACTTCTCCCCTATTCCCTCGATTCATGTGTCTGTCTTTCAATCTCCAGTCTCCAGCAGACAGAACTCAGAGGATCCACGCAGGCGATGAGGTGATCCAAGTCAACAAGCAAACAGTGGTGAGTCCGTCCATCCGTCACATGATAGCGAGAAGGATTGTGGGATATTATTATGCTCTGAAAGACTAAATGGAGGCGCTTTTGTGTGGAACCTAGCAAACCTGATCCATGAGATATTCGAGTGCTGAAAGGCCCTACATAAAAGCACTGTTATGAACACCTTTATCATTGTTGTGGATCAGCGCTGTTGTTTTTATTCAGCTCATATTTACAGTGAAAGCAGTGGGTTGGTGTTTGTACGCCATTAAAGCCATTCAGACAGCGTTTGCTCAGCGATAGGGTCAACTTTCCTCCATTTATGACTGGGTTTATTTTCATTAGTTCACCATTGTGGAGAACACTTTATGAACATGTTCTGCTGATCTGAACTGATTGTGCGCTAATAATACTTCACATATTAAATGTTTAACTTTGTACAAATATATTAATTAAACGAGGTATATTTTGTGTACTTTTTGGTGTTTCTTAATATGCTTAAGTGTATTTTTAATAAATATAATTTTAATTTGATACTTTTAGGTTTCTACTTTGTAATTAAAGGTGCAGTAGGTGATCTGCCAAAATGCTAACCGCTTAGCACAGGGGTGTCCAAACTGTTTGGGCCGAGGGCCAGATGCAAAAAAAAACAATGTTGTCGCGGGCCAAATTTTACATACATCACACAGACACGCATATATATATATATATATATATATATATATATACATATATATACAT